AAACAGGAATGAAGTACGTGGGAAGGAGGAAATGAAGTGGGAAGATGAACAAGACCTAAGGTATACAGTGGATGATATCTATGAATCCTGCTGGGAAAAACATGTCTTTATTCCCTTCCCTGCCCCACCCATCCGCTGGGAAGAGGCTTGCGCTCCTGGGACACCATCACAGGGGCTGCTGTCCTGTCAGGGTCCCTCCCCTCTTGCTGCAGTGACAGGGGTGCAGACATGGCCAGAGGCCAGCCGGTATGGCTCCTTTAGGTGAAGGGGGCAAGGAGGAGGCTTATTTCCCCCCTCCCTCTGGCAAAGGGGGCAGAGAGAGGGCTTATTTTGCCTCTTGCCCCACACAGGGTGCGATCAGCAGAGGTTGGGGCTAGCAGATCCTGGTTGTGGTCCTCCATGGGCAGAGGAGGGAATAAACCTCCTCCCTGCTCCCTTTGCCTCAGGGGGCCGCGCTGGCCGACATCTGGCCACACCTCTGCTTCTGCCACTGCAGCAGTGAGGGGGGAGTGCCAGGCAAATGGGGCTCAGGTCTGTGCCGGTGGGACAGGGAGGTGGGAATTAAATCCCTTCCTTGGCTAGTTCACTTGAGGCCACTGCTGGGGCTGCTGCCCCCCCCCCCCCCCCACCCCCCCGTGCCTGCCCCACAACACAGTTGCCTTGCAGCTCGCTCTAGCGGCCCCCCCCGGCTTCTGGCCTGAGCCACTGCAGGCATGTGCCAGCATTTCCAGAGGCAAAAGTGAATGTCTATTCACTTGCAAATTGGTTCAATCTATGCAGGTTAGACTAACCTAAAAACATTGAATAATTCAGGCTCCAGCTTTTTGAATGTCTGTCCCTAGCCTGGTTGTTCACAGTAGTAAGCAACAGCTCTAAGAAGTGAGCCAGAAATTAGCTTTGTCTAACAGGAATGTACTAAGCTGGTCTCAGCTGGAAGGCAACTTTTGCAGATGAGGCAGCAGCTCATTTACAGTCCTTCTTGAAGACTTTCCTTTGTGTCATTGTTAAAGCTCTCTCTAGGTTCTCTTGGCTGTCTTTATATAGAGCAAACGGAAAACCCCAAAGAGATAATGAACTGGAATGTGCATTAAATGACAAGTTGGTGCTACCACAGAGAATGCTGGTTAAAGTATGATGAACTATAACAGCATACAATGCTGCAAACACACTACAGTCAAATCTTAAAAGATACAAAATGCACTGACTGTCGCACAGAATGTAGTTTACATATCTGAATATAATTTTTGCAAAGGCCTTTTATTTGTATTCTAGATGTGTTAATATCCTGTCTGTCCTGGGAAAGTAGCTGCAATATCAAGGGCACCTTGCTGTGCATCTGTCTTAAGACTTTATATTGAAAAAATATTGAAAATTACATCTGTGCAGGCATATGCAATTCTAATTGGACTAAAATAAATCTTGTGATTTTTAGCTATGCTTTGTCAGCTAGGTTCTGCAACTGCTGACTGTACCAATATATACAATGAGTATATTATGAAAACTGACAGTCAGATGATCGCAAATAGATGCAGAAACGGCCAAAAAAGATAAATCACATTACATTAATTTTTTCTCTCTCAACTTTAACAGCATTAATGGAATTTTATAACAAGGTATATTATACAGCCTTGCAATTTTTAGTAATCAGACCTGCTGTCAGTGATTGTGTGGGTAGTTGTCATACTCTTTCCATTTTGTATCATGCAACACTGTTTCAGAGAGTTTTAACATTTAAAAACCTTTAAAGTTCACAATACTAACAGGTTACTATTAATTAATACTGATACCATTCAACTCTCATTTTTGAGGTTTATAGATTTTTATTTTATTTATTCTTTGTTAGCTTTTCAAAGATGGCCTTAAACTCCGCTAGCTGCTTATTGTGAATTTTAATTTATTCCCCTCCTTGGGAAAGTTTTTTTTTCTCCAGAGAGCTACTATTATTATACCAGAGTTGAAAGGTAGTGGGACATCACAGTAGTTGCAACCAGCAAAAATAAAACAAGTTCATGGCTTTACCTGTGTTTTTTGCAATTGCAAAATAAACTTTTTCTGCTTGACAGAAAGAATATACGCATTGTGGGCCTTACTAACCCGAATTTAAGTGCAACTGTCTTGGGAGAGATGGAGATACCTTGATTCTTACTTTGTTTGTTTTATTTCTATTAGGTCTCCTGGAAAAGAGTAGACTTGTGGAATTATTAAACTACAAACAAGGCAAGCTAGGGAGTGTTCTGGTAATTTCCCAGCCTAGCTGGTCTATGGTTCCCTTGCCATCTTTTTTTTTTTTTTTTAAAGATGGGCATTATATTCTTCTCCAGTCGTTTTGGAGCTCACCTTTCACCCAAGAGTTTGCAAATATTGCCTGTAGCACTAAAATTTCTTCACCTAGTTCTTTCAGTTGCCTTTATGGGGCAACTTCCATCAGGCCCCACTGACTTAATTCAAATTTTCCATGAGTTCCCTAGTGGGTACTTTTCTTATTATGACCTAGATTCTTTTCCCTTCTTTGCTTACATTAATTTTCTACTTATCTGGTCACAGTTTGTAAGTGTGTGTTTTTGTGGGAATACTGATGCAAAGTAGGCTTCATCTTCCATTAATATTGCCCCTTTTCTGGTGAGTCCTAGAACACTAGAACCTTGCGACTGTTTGCCTTTAAGTAGTTTGAAATCTGCCCTTTTGAAACCCACTGTCCTTGTTAGTCTCCTGCCTTCTATGTCATGATCAGTTTCAAACTTCTGACCATCTTCATGCTCCAAACCAGTTCCTCCTGTTGGTCAGAACCAGATCCAATGTAGATTTAGTCTCCTGCTTTTCCTTCAACATTCTGAGACAAAAAATTGTCCTTTACATGTCATGAACTTTCTGGAAAATTTAAATTTTGAAAGATTTTTCTTCCCCCTATTAACTCATCTATTTTAAATGTTCTTTTGACCTGCTTAAAGTATACCTCATCCACCATTACTTCTTAATTTTATACCTCCATTGTAACATCACCCTGTTTGTTTGTTTGTTTCTTTATTTTTACTTGCATACACTTAATTGATCTATTCCTTTCTACTTGAACAGCAGACCAGCTGTATACATTGTCAGGGTAAAGTGCAACGTCTCTTTGTTTTTCCTCATTCCTAATCTTCCAGAAAACCCCACACATCATTATTTTGTCAGTCAGGAGTTATCCAATCAAGTTTCTGAAATACCAGTTAAGTCTTCATTTTCTTTATAGTTTATCCAGCTTGTTCCTCCTATGCCTTACAATTGTTTATACACATTGGAAATACTTTGCATTCCTAATGCTTCAGCCATTAAGTAACAAACTGCAAGACAGAACCAGATGAAAACTTTGCTCCAATCTCCTGACTCTTCCTTTTTAGTACTGTAATCTCAGATGTAAGCTGCATTTTTCCAGGAAATTATCTAGGAAGAGTCCTCAGAAAGCTTCTTATCTTTTGTTGATTTGAAAAAAGGCGCATGTCCGTATGCATGTGCAGATCCAGGATTTTGAAAGGGTGTGAGGGAACAGTGAACTGTGCTGCAGGTGTGGCTGCACCCTAGCTTCCAGCCTCCCTGCCCCCCCCCATGCCAGGGCAGGCAGACTGCACTGCAAGAGAGACTTTTAAGTTCCTCAAGCAGGTAAGAATCTTTCTTACCCCCTCCCTTCCCCTCTGTGCTCAGTTGCATGTTCCCTCCTGCCCTTCCCCCAACTGCCACTGTGGCTGTCCCCAGCTGAGCTGGGGGTCAGAGGAAGAGGGTCCTTTGTGGCCAGGCTGTATTTGGTGCCACGTTCAGCTAGAGATAGCAGCTGCAGTGGTGGCAGCAAGTGGGTTCCCTTCCCCCATACCTACTCCTAGGCTGACAAGGAAGACATGGGGAGTATTGGGCAAGGAGGAAGGACCCTCCTGCTGCAGCCTCTGTCCATAGCTGAGCTGGAGCAGGCAGGAGTGGCTCTGGAGCTACCTCCCCAATCCCTGGGGCAGCTGGAGACAGTGGCAGTAGTGGAGAGAGGCAGGGAAGGCAGCACTGCTATGCATAGAGGAGAAAGGAGGGGGAGACTTCATTTTTGCTTCGGGGATTTAAATGAAAATGTCCTTGGCTGCTCTTCTTGTGGCATGGTCAACTGAAAAGGAAGGGCATCAGTACCACTATACCCCCTGGATATGCCCCTGTCCATATGGTTGTCTGGTCATCATAGATTGTTAGGGGCTGGAAGGGACCTTGTACATCATTGGGTTCAGTCCTCCTGCACTAGGCAGGAAAAGACATCTGGGTTCAAGTGACCCTAGTGAGTTGACTGTCCAGTCTCCTTTTGAAGATTTCTGGGGTAGGTGACTGCACCACCACTGGAGGGAGTTTATTCCACAGTCTGGGCACCCTGACTGTGAAGGAGTTTTTCCCTGGAATTGAGCCTGAAGGACCTTCCAGGAGTTTGTATCTATTGCTCCTGGTCTTCCCCAGGGGTGCCCTGATGAACAGCTGTTCACTGACTTCTTGATGTACTCCCCTTATGTAGCAGTAAGCCACTATCAAGTCCCCGCTCAGCCTTCTTTTCGGTAGGCTGAAGAGGCCCAAGTCTCTCAGCCTTTTCTTGTATAGCTTATCTTGCAAGTCCCTGAACATATGGATGGCTCTTCTCTGGACCCTCTCAAGTTTTTCCACGTCCTTGTTGAAGTGCAGTGCCCAGAACTGGACGCAGTACTCCAGCTGCGGTCTCACCAGTACGGAGTATCACTTCCTTAGTTTTGCATGAGATGCAACGGTTAATGCATGCCAGCATGTTGTTTGCCCTGCTGGCCACAGCATTGCACTGCTGGCTCATGTTCATGAGATGGTTGATCACTATCCCTAGGTCCCTTTCAGCTGTCGTGCAAGTCACATTGTCACCACCGAGCCTGTAGGTATGTTGGGGATTGTTTGCCCCCAGATGGAGCACCTTATACTTCTGAGTGTTGAACTTTGTCTGGTTCTGGTCTGCCTAATTCTCCAGCCTGTCCAGGTCTGCCTGTATCTGCAGCCTATCTTTTGGAATGACCACGCTTCCCCATTATGATCATTTTGTGATATCCTGGTTTTGTTTTTACACATAGGTCTATACAATCTGCATGCTGGGAGAATTGCAACCATTTAAAAGAACAAGTTTAGCATTCAAAACAATTTTGACAAATTTGAATAATGGTCTGAAATAAACAGGATGCAGTTTGATGAGGACAAGTACAAAGACCTCTGCAAATGCAAAGAGTGGCTTGAATGGCTCGGCTCAGTTTTGCAGGTAAGGGTCTGAAAGTTATAGTGGATCAAAAGCTGAATGTAAGGCAGTAGTGTCCTAGGGCTGTGAAAAAATAATACTGACATGAGTATGTATAAACAAGAACAACAGATATAAGACATGTAAATAATCCTTCCTGTCTACTGAGAAATGGTAGGGCCATAGTTGGAGTAATGCATCCAATTTTGCACACTGCATTTCAAGAAATATGTTGACAAGTAGTCTAGAAAACATGACCTGTCAACAAAGATGGAAAGAACTGGCTTTTTTTTTTTTTTTTTATGGAGTAGATGACACTGAGGACAGATGTCGTAAGTCTCAAATATGGTATTTACTCAAATCTAAGATGACCGTGAATTTCAGACATCTCCCTAATTAGATTCTGTATATGAAAAATGAAAAAGTTTACTATAATTTTCAAGGTATAGAATCTGAATTTCATATGATTCCCCAATTAGATTCTACATATGAAAATGTATAAATTTGTTATAATTTTCTAGGTATGGAATCCAATTATTGGAGGGTGTCTTAAATTCATTCCCTCCCATCCCCACCACTGCTACAGCAGGGAAAACAGTGGCTGGGGGGAAGCCTGGTGCCTAGGAAGGAGTCAGGCAGCCCCTTACCCTCTGCCTCCCCTACTTCTTTTCCCCCCACAGCCTTCCTGCCCTCTGCCATCTGCACCCACCACCCCTAGCTCCCCACAGTGTTGGCCCATCTTCCCCCACAATCTCTGCCCCTTACCTCCCGCTCCCCAAAGTCTCTGCCTCTCTTCCCACCTTACTTTCAGATGCTGCTTGGGCTTTGTTCCCTGTTGAGGTGTGGAGCAGAGCACATGGAAGAGCAGCCCTTGCTCTGCTGTGCATGCAGCAGTGATGCTGATTGCTGGCAGGGGACAGAGTTTCCTTGTGCTCCGTGCTGGGAAGGATCCAGCCTGGGTGGGAGTTGAGATACACTTAACAGCAAGGGGGAAAGGGGGCAGGAGGCTTCTGTGGGTCTGCTTCTGGCCCCAACTTAGGCTCAGGGCCAGAGTTAGAGCTGCAGCAGCTGCCTGCCTTCCTTCCCCACCCCTGCTTTGTATGCACATCTAAGATTGGGGGGGGGGGGACTTTCTCCCCCTGCCAATTGGGGGGGTACCTTGTCTTAGATTTGAGTAAATATGGTACATAACATTTTGCTATAAAGATTAATGTAATTGTTTTCTGTTTCCAAGAAGTAACGATCTTTAAGCCTAGCAAAGGAGAATTGGGTTAAATGTTGGTGGGGGGGAGGCGGAGCTTTCTACTGGCAAGGTTAGTTAAGCACTGGGATAGAGAGACTGCCCCAACTTCCTATCTAATCTGTCTGGAGGTTTTTTAAAAATAAGGTTAGATAGACAACTGCTAGGAATTGTTTAGGTATAGCCGACTTTTTTGCAGCTGCAAAATGGACTACATAGTTTACAGAGAAGTTAGGCTGAAAGAGAAATCAAGATATCATCTAATCCAGCCAGGGCTTAAACCTGCAACTTTTCATTATCCTCTAACCAGTTGAGCTAAATAGTCATGTATGGCTTATTAAAGTCCCTTCCCAGCACCCTCTGTATCTTTAAACATGTGAATAAGTCAACTCAAATTTGCGTATTTGTATCATTGTACCGGAGTTGGTTATGTGCTAGCAGTTCTAGAGGAGTGAAAAGTTAAGATACAAGTGAAAGGGAGAAGAAAGCAGATCTTAATTCCTTAATATTTATTTAGACTTAAGATGGGTGGTATTTCTGAGTACTCTTAGAACTATGGTAGGTATGGGGCCTGTTCATTGTTCCAAATCAAGTTGTGTTTATAGTGGGTTTTATGTTTGCTGTTTAGGAAATTTGCAAAGGTATTGAAAGTTAGATACTTGAGGCCCACAATTTTCAACTTGAATTATGCACATAACTGCTCTCTGAATCTTCAATATCTCCTACTGCATAGTGAAAATGATCTATAAAAACATTTGCCAGTTCTACAAAATGATCCGGCTCCATTTTAATATAGAATGGCATTAGTTGAAAAAAAATGTTTTAGACACTGGATGTTAAAAAGAGCTGTTTCAGTTTCGGAAAAGTCTGACTTTGTAGCAAAAATAATAATAGCGATTAATAAAATTAGCTATCAAAACCAGTTTTACTTAGAAGTGTCCATGGCAACCTTGATCAAGCTTCTCTGTGGACATCCCTAAGGCTGCTGTATTTGGATCTTGCTTTTAAGGTTTCCTGGAGCTTGGCAGAATTCAAGTGCTGTATTTGTCTTTTGGTATACAGCCGAGGCGCACATCTTTTTCAGAATTTGAATCACTCAGTCCAGCAGCCTATGTCCTGAGACTACTGCCAGATTCCAGATTTCACTTTCCACCTCTTTAAG